GAAGGGATTAAGCCATCTCTGCACAAACTGTTTGAGAGCTAGAGTCGCTTCCCTGATGAGTCCATGGCAAGACGAAACCAATAGACCCTGAGCTAATGAATGACGTATATATGTGTAGACTGACCCCCTCACAAGTGTGATGTTGGGGTATGACACGGGCCATTCCGTTGCGTCGATACTCTAGGTTCATAACAAATGGTATCAAAGTAGGAAAGAATACATTAACATTATAGCATTCCTTTCTAAACTATATATATACCAACTGTAAAACATATTCATATTCCAATATTCATTTACAATACAATCAATTTCAGTTTAAAAAACTCCATGGAATATATGCGGAAATAAATGACAAACCTCCAGCCATAGCAATTACTTCTTTGATCTTCTTGCTCCTTTATGAATTACAGGATCTTCCACTTGACTGCAATTTTGGGTGATGGTTTTGGGAATCAAAAATGCATCGAATGGGGACCTGTAAACTTCTCTGTCTTTGCTTGGAAATTCACTGCTCTGAATCCTTAGACCTCTCTTCAAATAAGCTTCTGGGAAAATTCCATGGCAGTTAGCAAATTAAGTTTTCTCAGTTCTAAATTTGTCCCAAAACCATCTTAGCGCCCTACCTCGAGCAACCACTTGGAACCTCTCAACATTCATATGATGGAAATTTGCATTGTGTGGATTTCCTTTGTCACAAAATGTGGCTACATGAGACACCACAACCACCCCAACATTAGAAGAGATGCAGAGTCTTCAAGTGGATTCGGTTGGAAAGGTGGTGTTGATGGTATGGATGTGGAATGGTGTTAGGGTTGACAATGGTATCTTGTGTTCTCAAAGGAAGCCTCAGTGGGTTATAGGATGGTTAAGGAGGAACCCAAAAAAGGGAAAGGCTGAAAACAAACGTGGAGGAAGATGAAGTTAGGTCATGCAAGAAGTTCTGTTGCTGAGTATTGCTGCAAACTGGAAAACCAATGTTCCTTTTTTTCTTGCTGATATATGTAGTAACTTTTTCTTTCTTGTTTTTAATTTATGTTTCTTTCAGTGAAGCATTCAATTGTTATGTTTTACTACTCCTAAATAAATATCAGAGTTGTGATGGTGAAAATTAACATGGTTTACATACTTGTTAATGATTTTATGTTCAACTCATTATCTTTAAAAGTTCATTATTGTTTTCTTGTAGTGAGACCAAGACTTTATGCTAATTAAATAACCGGGTACTCTATCCCAATCTTCACATACCCAGAAGTTACACACTGCACGGCAAGTGTAACATCCATCAGATTATCACCATCTTGTTCAAACTTTCTTCTTCTTCTTCAAGTACTTTAATTATTTAAATTATATGACTAAAATCTCGTTTGATAACCAAATTAAGGTTGCACTTTGTTCATCTTATCACCTGCACAATTAATAATATCCATGTCAAACATCTATATCACCATAAAAAGGGTCTGCCCGCTGCTAACATAGTATTCTCTTTGGCAGAACACATACTTAATAGTTTATGTAGATTCATGCACGACGATGAATTATCCACAAAAGTGAACATCATAAAATGGAATAACAATAACCACAATTTTACCTATCATCTATTTTCTCTTTCACAACAGCTGTGATCACTTAAGACTTTGCTTCGGCGTGTACTTACTGTTTGAATTACATTATTTCATATGACCATTTAGTGGAAATAAGAAAATTACAACTGAGAAAATGGCTTGAAGCATTACAAAGTTGATTTTCTTAATAAACATTATTGTTTCTAGTTAGTAGACGAAGACTTATGTTTAAATTATTGGAGAAATCGTGTAACCCGTTCCCCATTGCTGAGCTTAAGAACAAAAGCTATAAACTAAAACAAAGAATATTACAACATTAATTCTGCATAACATATCTCCATCATCATCCCAGTCAATAATAAGATTCCAGAATTAATACTTGGCACCACTTGGAAAATGACATTTGTGATCTAGCTTAGAACCAGATGTTAATAATGAGATAATGTTCAACTGTTTACCTTCAAAATTTTAAGTTCATAAACATTTGCAGTCATAGAAATGTAACCTTTAACTCGAAAATAGATAAAAACGGGGAAATACAAAAGAATGTGTACAGAATTTCAACAATAACATTAACCATATATAGTCAACCTATCATCTTAAAACCATCTATATTCTCTTTCGCAACATTTATGATCATTTCCACTTTTGCTTTGGTGTGCGACTTGTACTGTTCAAATCAGATTATCTCAATATTATTTTTCTATATAAACAATCAGTGCACACAAATTAAATTATTGGAAATTAGCCTAAAATTATGTTTTCTAGTTAGTAGACCAAGACTTATAATTGAATTATTGGAAAAGTCTTGTAGCCCGCTCCACACTGCAAGAGCTAAAGAACAAGCTATCTTCTCAAGATATGTAAACCATAATTGTCGATGACTCCAGCAGAGAATGAAGAAAGAATGGATGATATTTGTAAAGTGGAAGTGGAAACGTGACATGTAGTTTCTGACATTGATAGTGAAATGTCAATTGCTCACTATTTCTGTAGTCCTCTATTTGTTCTTTCGAAGAAAAATGTTAGTTCTGTAGTATATTTCAGATTCTCAGTTTACCAGATGCATCTTTATTTCTTGCTTGGTGATTTTGGACAGCAGTGCTGAATTCTAATTCATGATTTTAGCAGCATAAGAAATTATGCAATTAGTAGTAACAACTGTTTTGATGATGGGAAAGCTACGTGACAGAAACAATCTGCGTTAAGAGGATCTTTGTTGAAACTAATTTCAGTAATGAGATACAAAGCCTAGGATTACTCTATGTCTGTATTCTTTATTTCCGTACACTTTATTTCAGGAATAGCTATATATCTAAAGGCTATGGAAGCCCAATATGGACTGAAGCATATATGCTAAAAAAGAAACCAACCAAAGTTCCTTGGACATATCTTTAAAATTGATATTCAATGTAATGCAAATATTATCTTTCAGTTCAATCTAATCGCCAAGAGAAAATTAAGATTTTGATGGAAGCAGAATGTGTTAAGGAGCACTTGTTTGTGAGGTTTTGGTCTTCTGTTGCAGAAAGTTACTACTGCGGAGTGCAGTGAATTCAGGTGATGGAGTAATTGGACAAAGCATATTATTGTCAAGAACGCTTGGCCGAAAGTTTCTCGTCAGAGATTATTTGAAGTTTTAAAGAGCGAGGTTCGGTTTTGGCTACATTTTTGGATTGTCTGCATTCTTTTCATGGCTAAGACGACTATCACCACGCTTCAGCCTTGTAAGCTATATGGGTTTGATTTGTGTTTGTTTAATGTCTGTGTAATTTCATTACCAGAACTTATGCATTTAAATGTATATATTACTCAGCTCTTTGAAATTTATTATCAACTATTCTCATCGGCCAGAACAATGTATATTATTGTTTTCTTGTAGTAGACCAAGACTTATGCTAATAAATTACCGGAGGAGTCCTCTACCCCAATCTTCACGTACCCAGAAGTTACACACATTGCACGGCAAGTGTAACATCTATCAGATTATCACCATCCTGATCAAACTTTCTCGGCTGGAAATGCAGGACTGGAAAGTGAGATAAACATTATTGTTTCTAGTTAGTAGACGGTGACTTATTTTAAATTATTGGGAAGTCGTGTAACCCGTTCCACACTGCTTGAGCTTAGAAACAAAAGCTATAATTTCAAGAAACTTGAATATTAAGTTTGGCTTCGCATAAGGAGACAGAAGACTGAAACAGAGGTGAATATAACTGGATCCGTAATTTTGTTTGCATCGCTAATTATACAGCAGTATGCATAAGGCCTGTGTGCAGTAGCAAATATTAAGTCGTAAAATTTGTCATCAAAACCAAATAACTGATACGGCTAGACTCAGAAATGTGTATTGAATTTCAAGCAATAACATTAACCATACATATATCATCTTAACCATCTATATTCTCTTTCACACATCTATGATCATTGCACTTTTGATTCAGCGTACAACTTCTACTGTTCAAATTAGATTATCTCAATATACCTTACAATCAAAACAAGAAATTACAGCAAAGAAGTGACTTGAAGCTCTCCAAGATTATTTTCCTACTCGGCGATCTCATGTCTTTGTACCATTTGCGTCTCCGTAACTGCAATATAGTGGGGTCAATTCCTATGTCGCTTAGCAACCTTACACAACTTACTTACTTGAGTCTCTCAAGTAACAACTTCGGTGGTCACTCCGATCATTTCTGTCAAATCTTGTTAGTGAATTTCCAGATATTTCCATCAACTTTCCCATTTAGACCTCTCAAGGAATCAATTATCTGGTCAAATTCCTTCTTCTGCTGGCGGACTTCGAAATTTAGTTGTCATTTCATTATCTTCTAACTCTCTCAGTGGAACAATACCATCTTGATTATTTAATCTACCATTTTTGAAGGAGATGGATCTCAGCAACAACCAATTAATTGGCTCAATTCCAAGTTCAATCTTTGAACTTGATCTAAATTATCTCTCTTTCTTCAAACAATTTAAGTGGAATTGTAGAGCTTCACATGTTTGCAAAGAATAAAAACCTTAAGAGTCCTTGATCTTTCTCATAATAGTTTATCTGTGAGCACCAAATTCATAGCCAATTCATCCTTCCCCAACTTCAAATTTTGCTATTATCCTCTTGCAACATAAGTAAATTCCCAGGTATCTTAAGAAACCTAGACCTCTTAGATACGCTAGATCTTTTTTTGAAAATAAATCCATGGTCAAATTCCCGACTGGATGTGGAACACTAGTCGGGATTGTTTTTGCTGGTTAAATCTTTCTCACAACTACCTGAGAAGCGTGGAGCAACTTCTATGGAAAAAATTGGAACTTCTAGACCTTCATTCCAACTTGCTCCAGGGACAAATTCCAATTCTACCACCTTACTTGAGATTATTTTCCCTGTCAAACAATGAATTGACTGGGGAGATACCTCACTTGACATGTAATATGAGCATGGTAGAAATTTTAGATCTTTCAAATAATCGGTTAAGTGGTATAATTCCAGAGTGCATGGGAAATTTTAGCAGCCTTCGTGTGTTGGATTTGCGGAAGAATAGGTTTTATGGCTCCATTCCTGGAACATTTGCGGAGGGAAATCATTACAGTACCCTTAACTTGAACAACAATGGGTTGGAAGGACCAGTTCCATGATCTTTGCTCAATTGTTCAAAATTTGAAGCTCTGGATCTTGGAAACAAGAAGATAAATGATACATTCCCATATTGGTTGGGAAATCTTCTAGAGCTACGAGTTTTGGTTCTTTGTTCCAATAAGTTTTATGGTTCTATACGGGATTGTTCCAAGACAAACAAGTGTTTTCCAAAGTTGAGAATCTTTGATCTCTCAAACAACAGCTTCAGCAATTTTTTGCCTACTCTGTATTTCAAAAACCTTGAAGCCATGATGGATGTCGGTGAAGATGAAAGGGAATTGGAATATATGGGTGAAGATTATTATCAAGATTCTGCTATCTTGACATGGAAAGGGCATGAAATTCAACTAGGGAGAATTATCACTACTTGCACCACTATTGATTTTTCAAACAATTACTTCCATGGAAAGATTCCAAGAGTGATTGGAAACCTTCATGCACTTCGTCTTCTCAATCTTTCTCATAACAATCTATCAGGTTGTATCCCATCTGTTAAGATTTTCATAATATTTTGTATATATTTTGTAATCAAGTGAATATTATGTAATCTTTTAGTTATGTCAGGTATACGATCTTAGAATATTCTAGAGATTATGTAATCTCCTAATTATGTCAGACAAAATATTGTGTTATCCACAATTGACATAATTAGGAGATTTAGGAGATCGTATACTCCCTATATAAAGGGTGTAACTCCTTAGTGATAAATCAATGAATTGAAAACCCAATTCTTTCAAACAAACATGGTATCAGAGCCACTCTCTGATCTCTAAAAAAAAAAAAAATTCTCATTGTACAGAAGCCATCAAATCCAGCCGCAAAACAACACCAAAACTTCCTATAAAACAACAAATTGTCATATCAACCTCCTGCCATATCAACACCAAAACTTCCTGCCATATTCAACCTCTAGACTTCCTGCCATATCAACCCCCTGCCATATTCCCTCATGAGCCTTGAAACAACTATTTTTCAAGGGTTAGTTCAAAATCTGACTGAACTAACAGAACTTCTTCTTGATCAGGTGGATATATCTACAATAGTACCTAGTTTCTTGACCAATCTGTCTTATTCTCTGACTTCTCTAAGCCTTAATGATTGTGGATTACAGGGGAACATCCCAGATCACATCTTTCGCTCACCAAATCTGCAGTTCCTTAGTTTAAGAGGTAACCTCAACTTGACAGGTGTTTTTCCTAAGGTTAACTAAGTAGCCCCCTTAAGTTTATGGATGTTTCTGATATGAGTTTGTCTGGGGAATTACCTAACTCAATCGGCGATCTCATGTCTTTGTACCATTTGCGTCTCTATAACTGCAATATAGTGGGGTCAATTCCTATGTCGCTTGGCAACCTTACACAACTTTCTTACTTGAGTCTCTCAAGTAACAATTTCAGTGGTCATATCCCATCATTTCTATCAAATCTTGTCCAGCTCCGTCGTTTTGATCTTTCAATGAATAACTTTGTTGGTGAGTTTCCAGATATTTTCGTCAACTTTAGTCAACTTTCCCATTTAGACCTCGCAAGGAATCAACTATCTGGTCAAATTCCTTCTCATGCAGGCGAGCTTCGAAATTTATTTGTCATTTCATTATCTTCTAACTCTCTCAATGGAACAATACCATCTTGGTTATTTAATCATCCTTTTTTGAAGGAGATGGATCTCTGCGATAACCAATTAATTGGCCATATTGATCAATTTCAGAGTAATTCATTGAAAATGATTAATATCGATGATAATAGACTGCAAGGCTCAATTCCAAGTTCAATCTTTGAACTTGATCTATTTTCTCTCTCTCTTTCTTCAAACAATTTAAGTGGAATTGTAAAGCTTCCTTGCATGGCTTGATCTTTCTCATAACAGTTTATCTGTTAGCACCAAGTTCATAGCCAATTCATCCTTCCCACAACTTGAACTTTTGGGATTATCCTCTTGCAACATAAGTGAATTCCCAGGTATCTTAAGAAGTCTAGACCATTTGGTTACGCTGGATCTTTCTGAAAATAAGATCCATGGTCAAATTCCCAACTGGATGTGGAACACTAGTCAGGATAGTTTGTCCTCGTTAAATCTTTCCCACAACTACCTAACAAGCATGGAGCAGCTTCCATGGAAAAATTTGAGATATCTAGACCTTCATTCCAACTTGCTCTAGGGACAAATTCCAATTCCACCACCTTACTTGACAATATTTTCGCTGTCAAACAATGAATTGACTGGGGAGATACCTCACTTGACTTGTAATATGAGCATGGTAGAAATTTTAGATCTTTCATATAATAGGTTAAGTGGTATAATTCCAGAGTGCATGGGAAATTTTAGCAGTCTTCATGTGTTGGATTTGCGGAAGAATAGGTTTTATGGCTCCATTCCTGGAACATTTGGTGAGGGGAATTATTACAGGACCCTTAACTTCAATGACAATGGGTTAGAGGGACCAGTTCCATGATCTTTGCTCAATTGCTCAAAACTCAAAGTTCTAGATCTTGGAAACAACAAGATAAATGATACATTCCCGTATTGGTTGGGAAATCTTCCAGAGCTACGAGTTTTGGTTCTTCATTCCAATAAGTTTTATGGTTCTATACGAGATTGTTCCAAGACAAACAAGTGTTTTCCAAATTTGAGAATCTTTGATTTCTCAAACAACAGCTTCAACGGTTTTTTGCCTACTCCGTATTTCAAAAACCTCGAAGCCATGATTGATGTTGGTGAAGATGAAAGGGAATTGAAACATTTTAGAGAAGGGGACTATAAGGATTCCGTGACGATGACAGTTAAACGGCATGAAATTCAGCTAGTGCAAACTATCACTACTTTCACCACCATTGATTTTTCAAACAATTACTTCCATGGAGAGATTCCAGGAGTGATTGGAAACCTTCATTCACTTCGTTTTCTCAATCTTTCTCATAACAATCTGTCAGGTTGTATCCCATCTTCCCTTGGAAATTCGACTGCTCTTGAATACTTAGACCTCTCTTCAAATAAGCTTGTTGGGAAAATTCTGCGATCTTTGCTCAATTGTTCAAAACTTGAACTTCTAGATCTTGGAAACAACAAGGTAAATGATACATTCCCATATTGGTTGGGAAATCTTCCAGAGCTACGAGTTTTGATTCTTCGTTCCAATAAGTTAATTGGTATAATTCCAGAGTGCAAGGGAAATTTTAGCAGTCTTCACGTGTTGGATTTGCAGAAGAATAGGTTTTATGGCTCCATTCCTGGAACATTTGGTGAAGGGAATCATTACAGGATGCTTAACTTCAATGACAATGGGTTAGAGGGACCAGTTCCACGATCTTTGCTTAATTGCTCAAAACTCGAAGTTCTAGATCTTGGAAACAACAAGATAAATGATACATTCCCGTATTGGTTGGGAAATCTTCCAGAGCTATGAGTTTTGGTTCTTCATTCCAATAAGTTTTATGGTTCTATACGATATTGTTCCAAGACAAACAAGTGTTTTCCAAAGTTGAGAATCTTTGATCTCTCAAACAACCGCTTCAGCAATTTTTTGCCTACTCTATATTTCAAAAATCTTGAAGCCATGATGGATGTCGGTGAAGATGAAAGGAATTGAAATATCTGGGTGAAGATTATTATCAAGATTCTGTTATCTTGGCATGGAAAGGGCATGAAATTCAACTAGAGAGAATTATCACTACTTGCACCACCATTGATTTTTCAAACAATTACTTCCATGGAGAGATTCCAGGAGTGATTGGAAACCTTCATGCACTTCATCTTGTCAATCTTTCTCATAACAATCTATCAGGTTGTATTCCACCATCTTTTGGAAATTTAACTGCCCTTGAATCGTTAGACCTCTCTTCCAACAAGCTTACTGGGAAAATTCCATGGCAGTTGGCAAATTTAAATTTTCTTGGATGGCTAAACTTATCTCAAAACTGACTCGGCGGACCTGTACCTCGAGCCAACCACTTTGACACCTTCTCAAATAATTCATATGATGGGAATTTGGCATTATGTGGATTTCCTTTGTCACAGAAATGTGGCACTGATGATGGGAAACCGCAACCACCATCAACATTAGAAGACGATGCAGAGTCTTCAAGTGGATTCGGTTGGAAAGTGGTGTTGATGGGGTATGGATGTGGAATGGTATTAGGGGTGACGATGGGATATCTTGTGTTCTCAACAGGGAAGCCTCAGTGGGTTGTAAGGATAGTTGAAGGAGGACACCCAAGAAAGGGGAGAAGGCTGAAGAACAAATGTGGAGGAAGATGAAGTTAGTGCATCCGAGAAGTTCTCTTGGCTGAGTATTGCTGCAAACTGGAAAACCAATGTTCCTTTCTTTTCTTGCTGATAATATGTAGTAACTTTTTTCTTTTCTTGTTTTTAATTTTATGTTCTCTTTCAGTGGAAGCATTCAATTGTTATGTTTTACTTCTTAAATAAAATGTTAGTGTTGACTATCTAAACTCGACCTTCCATTTGTCTTCTACATATAAATGTATCAGTTCTTTAGATTTCAAAAGCAAAGAAGATGGGTGTTCTTTCCTTGGCTTATCAACTTCACTTCCTCCAATTATTGCTCTTGCTTTCTCAAAGCTCTGAAACACTCCGTTCTCAAAACCAAAGTTCTGCACTGCTCCAGTTTAAGAAACAATTTTCTTTTATTGATCTTTCTTTCTACTTCCACAATGATAACTTTGCAAAATATTCTATTGTCAAAAGTTTCAACATTCAATGTTTTGTATTTATTTGGAGAAATACAAGTCTCATGTGAGCCTAAAGCATTTGAATTGGGTTCAATGGATCTTTTATATTGGTTTGCATTCACTAATGGGCTGTAAGTCTAGATCCAAGACTAGGTTGATCCTGAAAAGTCGGTGTTGGTGGGTGATTTATTAAAAAATATCATAGAAACTAAAATTATAATTAAAAAATTAATGTGAAATTTTAAAATATGTCATAAATTAGGGGTTCAAATCCTTAAAAATATAGAATTCAATTTATTTATTGCATTTTACAAAAAGTATCATTGATTGGGTCCTCAAACCAAGTATTGCTTCTTACTAGGGGTGTTCAAAAGAACCGGTTGGAATCGGAACTGGCGGGTACCCTGGGTTTGGTTCCGGTTCCTACCCAGAACCAATCGTTAATGGGTAGGTTCCGGTTCCAAATTTTTGGAACCGTTACTTTGCGGTTCCGGTTTTGGTTTTTGGTTTCTATAGTTAGGAACCGGAACCGGAACCAGGAACATGGAACTGAGACTAATATAAAATAAAATTAAAGATTAGTGGGACTAGTAAATGCTTTTGTAGAAAAAATAGTGTGAAAACATTTATATTTATATTTCATAACATTTAAAGTAAGTTGGTTTGACTTTTGAGAATCTACCTTTACAAAGTAATGGAGTTTGTAATTTTGAATTTTGAATTTTGAATTTTGAATTTTGAATTTTGAATTTTGAATTTTGAATTTTGAATTTATAATTTGTAATTTTATTTTTGTTAACAAGTGCCAAGTGGGGGCATATTTGTAAGTTTTTAAGGGTTTTTTTGTCATTTTAAAAACTTTTGGGGGGTCATTATGATTTTATAGGGTACCCAGAACCGGAACCGGAACCATTGTTACAGGTTCTCGTTCTGGGTACCTAGCAACCGAAACCGTCGGTTCCGATTTTAGTTCCAAATTTCAAGGAACCGTCGGTTCCGGTTCTAATTCCTTCAAAATGTGCAAGGTATCCAGAACCGAACACCCCTACAGTTCTTACTGTGTAAAAGCCAAAAATCAACTACTGTCTCTACAGAAATAAAAGTTGTGTTTTGATTCCTTAAACAACCAAGATCTTAAAATAATAAGGTCATGGACAAAAGAAGGTCCAAATAGAAGAAGCTTATAACAAGCCTACCAGAAGGCAGATCGAAGCAGTAGAAGAAGGCTGCTGAATAAGTTGAATTGGATAGTTAAGCAATTAAGAAATAAAAAATTCATATACATAATTTCTCACGAAAACTCACCAGAAAATGACTTCATCAATATAGCTGGGATGTCCATGGCAAAATCTTGAATAAATTAAAAGAATAATTTTACAGAATGTTCAACGCAAACAAGAGCTAATCAATTTAATCTTGCTTAATAATGGCTACCAAAGTTGATTAATTTGGATTGGTTTTACATTAATCAATAATGGGTAAGGAGCAAAATAGGTTTGTGCTTTGTGCAAGCTCTTCAATGGCTTTCCTTCTTCTTCTTGCTTGGCCTTGTGCTACAGTTTTCTAATATCCCTTTTTTTTAGAATTTGATTTACTATTACTAGTGCATGACCCAGACTAATTTGATGCACTAGTCCTCGCTAGCGCATGACCAAGACTCTAGTGACCAAAACTTGATGGAGTTCACTATACACCGCACTAATGCATGACCAAGACTTTCCTTCTCTTTTAATTTAGATGGACATTAATTTCATCTTTACTTCTCATCTCTCACAACAATTTTCAGCAGTTTCTTTTTTCTTCTGTTTCAACTTTGTTTCCTTGTAAATAGTATGACTATACCGTGACATTCTGAAAAGTTTATTTTCACTATTTCATTATACATAAACATTAATTTTTTTTTTCTCTTTTCTGGTTATTGGGAAATTGAAAGAAAACCTTGGTCGATTGGTATTTCCTGGAATCATATATAGCGAAGACCAAGACTGATCAATTAATCATGCAGTAGTATGAGAATGAGAAAAAGCATTTGCTTTTTGACGTGCATTAGCCACAGATTCAAGTCTCCGCAGCCACTTTTGAGGCATGAGAACCCCACTTATTGTTCCTTTTGACTCAATGAAGTCTAGTTGCTTTGTCACCACTTTGAAAATGACATTTCCAACCTTGGAAGATATTTAACTAAATTATTGGAGAAGTCTTGTAGCCTGTTCCACACTGCAAGAGCTTAAGAACAAGCTATCATTTTCAACATATGTAAACCATAATTTTCGATGACTCCAGCAGAGAATGAAAAAAGAATGGATGGGACCAATGTTCTTTTTTGTCTATGATGTGTGTAACAAAATGGAAGTGGAAATAGTGACAGTAGACCAAGACTTGATAAAGGCTACTCAAATCATGGAACAAATTTAACATTGACGAAAATATGTTGTGAAACCAAATTATTAAAAATGGGTCAACTTTTCCATTTGTTTAAGGCATAGAAATAAGTCCACCTCGGCGAGTATGCGACATTAATTAAAGTGTTTTAATTTTATGCAAATTCCTTTTTGGAGAGAAGTGTTTGGGAATTTTTGAGATTCTTAGTTAGGATTTTACCTTGAGTTAAAATAGGAGACTAGATATTGTTTCTTTTAAGGATTATTATTCTTTTCCATTTATAAATAGGAGAATATATTATTGTTTTACTATTCTTATCTCTTTCTATATAAGAGAAGGAAAAACGTTGGTTTTGTAATTTAGTCAGTGAAGTTGAAAAAAAACAAATTTTCTTAGAAAGAAATTTAAGGCAAAAATGGTGCGTTTGGTACTAGTTCGTAAAGACAACAAAACGGTGTGTTTTGATATTTGTTTCGAAAGCCAAAGGCTATACAAAAGGAGCAGCGCTATCTTTGTAAACACTAAATGAAAAATAAATCCCAACTTTTTTCTTCGATTGATTCTCTCTTTCTCTCTCTTTGTTCGTTACAAGAAGGTCCTTGAATTCTTGAAAAGTTCTTCAAGGCCATAGTTAGAGGTGAAAGTAGGGGTGAGCACGGGTAGCGGATAGAACCAAAACCAGAACCTACCCGGAATCGGCACTGTAGGGGTAGGTTCCGGTTCCATTTTATTGGAATCGACACTGTGCGGTTCTAGTTTCGGTTCTTATGTGTGGAAGAATTGAAACCGAAACCAAAACCTGGAAAAAGAACCTAAAACGAGTACTCGGTTTGGAATCTGTAGCGGGTACTCGGTTTAGAACCTGTTTGGAATCGATTTTGGGAACTTGTTTTGGAACCTGGGTTGCAATTAAATATTTGTGAATAATGGGGGGTTTCATTATTTTATATATAAAAAAAATTTAAAATAGAGAAATTTAAATTTTTAGAATAATCTAATTAAATAAATATACAATTATACTTATTACATATAAACTACATCATATTAAAAACTTTAATATATTATAATATATTAATATTAAAGTTTTGATTAATTAAGTGTATAATCAGAATTAGGATCCAATTAAAGGTGTTTTAATGTTATTAAAAGAACTATTTTAGAATAAAATAGTATATTTGATTAAATAATAATATATTTAGTTATTTATTTCAATTATCAAGTTCTAAGTATATCTATAGTAAATTAACAATTAATTAATTATATATGATAAATTGATCAACATTAATAAATTTAATTACTAGTTAAATATCATACTTAATCAATTATAGCATTACATTATAGTTAAATGATTACTTAATTAATTATAATTTTATAACATTACTTAATTGATTTATAGTATAATTAATTATAGCTTTAGCAGTAATTGATTACTACTTAATTAATTGACTTATAACATTTAGTATATTACTTAATTAATAATTGGATAATTACTTATCAATTAACACTTTCATTATAACATTAGTACAATCTTAATTAAATGATTAAAAATTTAATTAATTATAATATATATTAAAGATTTATAGTATGATTACTTAATTCACTATAACATTACATTATAGTATGATTACATAATTAATTATAACATTACATAATTAAATGATTATTAATTGATTATGACATTATATTATAAATTAGTAATTACTATAAACTTAGCACATACTTATAATTAAATGATTAGAATTTAATAATTATAACATTACATTATAAATTTATAATACAATTACTTAATTAATTGCAACATTCACATAAATTAATGATTACTTAATTAATTATAATATTATATATAAACAAATTAATTATAATATTATATTAAATTTATAGTATGATTACTTATTCATTATACCATTTCATTACAGTATGATTACATAATTAATTATAACATTACATAATTAGATGATTATTAATTGATTATATATATATTATAAACATTAATTATAATATACATTATAAATAAATGATTACTTATTAAATGATTAGAAATTTAATTAATTAAGCATTACAATATAGTTAAATAATTACTTAATTAAATATAAAATCATTACATTACATTATATTATGATCACTTAATTAATTATATAATTACATAATTAAATGATTACTAATTAGTTATAAATTTATAACATT